ATCAGAGATTGGACTAACCTTAGTGTTAAACAGATATTTCACGTTGCAAAAGATCGAAAAGCTTTTAAAGAAGTGATCGTCAACCTTCGTTAGAAGACGGCACAAGAAGAAGAAAAAGGAAGATAATGAGAGGCCACACATGACAACAATTGTGCAGCAGTATCGTCAGGAGGTTGGAATTCCTGCCATGGAATGGCCTGTGAGAAGTACTGACCTCAATTCAATAGAACTTGTTTGGTACATCATAGGCAGATGACTACGACAACTACCTCATGCACCAAACACATTAGATGAACTGTTTTTGCAGTTGGTTGAAATTTGTGATCAAATTGATCAAGAAGAAATCAGAACGATTATTCTCAGTATGAGGGATCGTTGCCAAGCAGTAATAAATGGCAGAGGAGGCAATACTCGATACTAGTATAGGGTACTAGTATTTTCTTTAACTTTCTTGTTTGTTTAAATGTTTAGATTTATGATGTTATATTGTTATTTTAATACATTTTTTGTAAAAAAAATAAAGTTTTTTGTTTAAGATGTTCTAAAATAACCATAAAGCAGAAGAACAAATAAATTTTTTTTCATTTCAACTCAAAATGAGAATTTTAAAATTATGCGGTAATTTTGGAGCGCAGTGTATAATACAAGCATCCTCTATTATGGCGAATCGATTAAATCAGTCTTCTATTTTTCACATAATCCTTTCTATCCTCTGAAAACACCAACGTTTGCAAACATTGTATTTTTAATGTAAATAGCAAAATACGTATTTGTTGTTTGTTTTTAATGTTTTTAAAAAATGTAAGCGTAAAGCAAACGCTTATATACCACAATGTAGGTGTTCAAATATTTATTTAACATCGAACACAATAATATGTATAATTAATCTATAAAAACAAACATAAAATCCGCCAAAAGATCAATTAGTAACATATTTGTTCTGATTTGTTTTTGAGCTAAATTTTCGAGTAAAAAAATCACAGTTTAATAATACCTACAGTTAGTTTTCTTCTACAGTATCGTTATTGTATTTACACATTGTGTAATTATTATACGATGGGATAGCGATCGTAGGAAACTGCTATTTCATTGACTGATATATAACTTTTACCTTTAATATCGATATAATTAACGCCGTAGAGATTGTTAGCCTGTAATTCAACTGAAAGGATGAAGAGTCTAGTATACCCATCATTTAAGTGCTAATTATTCTTCATTTATTTTTATTTCACGCTTTTTCTTTTCTTGTTGTTGACTTTTACATTGATATTACGGTTTTAAATATTTTTTATCCATAGTGATCATTTTTCCTTTTTTTTTTCTTTGTATAAACCTATTTAATGATATTTTTGGTATTCTTACTTTACTCTTCTTTGTATGTGCTCCTACCAAAGTCTCAATGCTGTACTCTTCCGTATATATTATTTTGTGGATCTCCATATATGTAAATCAGACAGACCCTGATGTTTGTACTGGTACATTAGCCCCAATAAATTATTTCGACGTTTCTTAAGATTTTTTCAAGTAGCAAGCTAATAACTGAAGGGGTTCGTTAACAACACGTGACACCCATACCCATACATGCTTATGGCATGGATCCATTACCTATCTTATTATGGAACAAGACTGAACCAGACACAAACAAACAAAACAAACTAGAGAAAACAACAACGCAACCTCAGCCACCAGTAAACTATGGAATTGGATCATGTTACATACCGTACTTCCGAAAATAAAAATAAATTACTTGAAAAAAGTTAACAAAACCACGATAACGATAAGTAAGAACGATAAAACATTTTATATATATAATAACGGATTGATTACGGCTGTCGCCGCTTCTCCGCCCCCAATTTCCATTTTTTTCTGTGATATTGTCTCTTAAGTCTCTTGCCGCAATTGCTTCATCAATATCGTTGCGTCAAATTCTCCGTGGTCGTCCTCTCTTACTTCTTTCAGAAGGGATCCATTTCAGTACTCTTTTAGGCCATCGATGCTCTGGCATTCTTTTAAGATGTCCGAACCAGATTAAATGTTTTCTTTCTATGCCATCATTGATATTTCGCTCCATTTTCATTTTGTTTCCTATTTGTTCGTTTCTAACTCCCTTCACTTTCGATCTACCGCAGCTTCGTCTCAGATAATCCATTTCTGTCGTCATAAGTTTCTTTTTGTTAGCTTTGGTGACGTCCCATACTTCCGAACCGTAAAGTGTAATACTTTGGACTATACTACCGTAAATGTGTTTTTTGGTTTCTCGTCGAATTGTTTTTTTGCCAGAGAACAGAGTGTAAGGCACGGGTCGCTGCTCTGCCTTTGTTTATTCTTTCCCTGATTTCATCTGCGCCATTTTCCCTTCTTGTTGAAAATGACTCCCAAATATTTGCAGGATTGCACGCCTTTAATTTTGTCGTCTTCCAAGACTAGGTCACATATTTCATCTATTCCCACTGAGAGATATTCACATTTTTTCATATTTATGTTTAGACCTGCCACCTTATATTCTTCTTGCTGTTTTCTTACCATATAGCTAAGATCATAGCTGTCTTCGGCTATTACTACCTGGTCATCCGCAAATAGAAGTGTATAAACCGTGTTTTCTTCCACCGTTATTCACATGTTTTTACATTTTTTTACCCATTTCACTAAGGATCTGTCCAAATAGATTTTAAATACGGTGGTTGACAGACATCAGCCTTGTCTTAGTCCATTTGTTGTTTAAAAAGGAGAGTTGATTTCTGGTCCCGTTTTAATTCTTGCAAAGTTTTGTTCGTAGTATTTTTGAGTGGCGTTAATACGAATTGCGTTTATTTTCAAGTTACCCATTTTTATCCATAGTTGGGAGGTCGGTACACTGTCATATGCTTTTTCCAAATCTATTTAATTTATATGGGCTTTTCTATTTCTCTGCACTCGTTTTTCCATTGCAATTTTTAATGTAAAAATATTATCTATAGTGAAGTGTCCGGCCCTAAATCCCGCTTATTCTTCGGGTTGTATGTCTTTAATATCTTTTTTATCAGGTTTTGTAGTACTTTTGAGTATAGTCGGCCTATAGTAGCAATCACTGCGATCCCTCTATAGTTTTTAGGATCCGTCTTTGTGCCTTTCTTGTGTATTGAAGAGATATAAGATTGTCTCCATTCTTCTGGAACTTCTTCTCCGTTTAAGTATCTTTCGAATAATTTTTGGATTATTTCAAACAGTTTTAATGATCCATACCTAATTAGCTCTGGATGTATTCCGCCTTGGCCTAAAACTTTTCTTAATTTCATTTATATTCTTCCTTCTACTTCCACTTGTTCGTTTGTTTGTTTAAACCTTTTGTTTCTCTCTGTTAATAAGTTCTCACAATGCTCTACCCGTATGTTCTCTGGTATTCTATTTTTTACGACTTGGCTTTTTGGCGTTGTTCTCATCGGTTTTATAGTTCTTCAGGCTTCAGAGCACTTTGTCCCTCCTGTATGGTTGTCTAGGTATTGACATTTTCGTTCCCGTGCACTATTTTTTTATTTAACCACTTCTCGATTTTCTTTTTTCAAGTTTTTATATTGTTGTTTTGTTTGTTCGTCTCCCTGTTGTAATAACTTATGATATACTTCCTTCTTTCTATTTATCTTTTCTTCCATTTCTTTATCCCACCACTATGGTTTATCTATTCTCCGTCAATGTGGCCCTAAGGGTTCTAGCGTTGCGTCTTTCATGCAGTTTTTTTATATGTTCGTATTTATCCGTTGATCTGTGTGATTCCTGTAGTTTTTGTGTTAGTCTCCAGGAGTAAAGTAACTGTATACTCTCGTTATCTAGATTGTCTAAGGTATGCGTAGTTCTTTCTATTTTTTCTCTGTGTTCTTTGTTGATGTCTGTGTGGTTCCTGTCTACGAATGGTGTATATAAGTTTCCTATTATCAGGCAGTGTTCCGAGAGGCACTCTGCTCCTCTATTCACCTTTACATCCTGTACTCTTAACTTAGTTTGTTGTTATGAAATAATATATTATTGATTTTAGACTTCTTGTGTGCTGATACCATAAAACATTCTGTAACCGAACATAAAAAGTACAGCGACGAAAATGGTTAAGTATAAGTTGAAGCAATACTTCGGGCTAAGTGTCTCGAAAGCAGATGGTGAGTTTATACGAAAGCCTCAAACATAGTTATAGGGTATAGCCAAAAAATCTTTAAGGTCAAACGACTCGTTTATTGATATTCTACAATCTACAACTTTGTGGAAATAGAGCTATTTTGAAATATTTTACGCATTTTCCTTTTTTTTAGTAAAAATCGAAAAAAAATCCATCTAAATGCCACATTGTATGTTATTTGCGCAACACAAAAATCTTTGTAGAAAATATATAAAAATTGGTATTGGTATTAATTTTTGGATTTAAAAATGCACCCATCACAATATTCATATAAATAAAAACTGCTCTTTAAAAACTATATACCTATTACTACAAAATCTACTAGGTTCGATATTTTAGTAAACAGTCAATAGTACGAAAATTAAGTACAGTCAAAATATTGAAGAGATTTTAAAACACATAATTGGACACTACAAAACGTTATGTAGGTAGTTGTGTTGTGTAGTATGATATGTAGTAGTATGTTATGTTAGTAAAACTTTTTATAATATTAATGGATAGGGTTAAATGTACTTAAAAGAATTTTTTCGGTAAAGCACCAGTATTCAGCCAACTTCCTTTGGGTGTATTGATTTTGGAATATATGTTGTAGCTATATTGCTGGCCATTGAAAAATATGTGGACATCATTAGTAGAGCAAATGATGAGCTAAAAGAAAAGTCAAGGTATATTTGAGCTTTGAGCTTTGATATAATCAATTATTCAGTGCAATGATTTATCGCTCTTATCTCTGAATACACAGGAATAATAAAAAGCAAATAAAATTAAGGAATATTGCAAATGTTAATCGAAGATCATGATAGTTGTATGTATATGAATATTGACTAAGAAGATAAAGTTAGTCATCCAGCAAATTAAAAAGTAGAAAGGCACCACCACTTTAAAGCCCTACATTCGAATTATAATACTGAAGACAACATTGATTATTGCATAAGATGTGCCTTATTTTGCATAACGCATATCATTATTTATCAAACATATTTTATATTTATTTCTAAAAATCTCGCTAGGTAAACATCAAATCTAGACTAGAAAAATACATAGTTGCCAATTGATGTAAATACCATAACTTAACCTGTTTAAATACTTTTAGAATCTCATTTTCATCGTTTCCATTACAGGAAAAAGTAATAAAACTATTAAATAAAAACAAACACTTTTAACGTGATGACGGCGTCATGGCGTGATTATCGTAAGCGTAGTCCAGTGCACAGTCTTCAGCTGGTCGTCTGCTGATGGAGGTGGACAAAGTGACCGGGCTATGGTCACTGTGTGATGCGTTGGAAGTAATGTCCAATCGTAGATCTCCTGATTTTTTAGAGGAAGGATCCTGAATATTGTTAGTTCTTGAAGGACTTTCTTGAGTATTCTGAAAAATAGTAATTTATTAGTTTTTTGTCATAATTAATTTTAAAATATGTATATAGAATATAGTAATGTTTTATGTTAAAGTAGAAATTCCAGAAATTGGGTCAAAAGATTAACATAGTCTGATGAAAATTCGGCACGTTTCTAACTAAAAACTGCGAAATGTTTGTTCGCTCCCAAGACCAAAAAACCCTCTTAATTACATACTAGTTCGCTCCGAAAACCATAACCTAGTTCGCTCCCGTAGTTAGCGTATTAAGTATTTATCTATTAAGTTCTAGGAACACCAGAAAAATAGGTACTGTGGCTTTTGTATTTTATATTAGAAATTATATCAAATATTGGTAGTTACATATCTATATATACTTTTTTTACGATAAGAATGTGATAACGTCACACAACGATCAGGTGCATCGTTGCCAAACTATTTTTCCATTTCTTATATTCTTCTTAAACACATCTAAACTAACTTTTCATTTTCTTCTTTTCAAAACAAGTTGATCACTTTTAATGTTTACAAGTTTACACATAACCTAACTTTTCGTTATTTTCTTTTAACACTTTTGTGTTAAATTGTAAATTTTTAACTATAAATAATTTATACCCATCTTTTATAACTAATGTTTTATATCTTCCTAAAAATGAAGTTTTATCGGGTACAAATTTATGGTTCCAATTATTTTTAAAACAAACATGATTAGGTAATTATCATAAGAAAACAAAGTTTTTTTGGAATTGATAAATAGGCCATCAATAAAAGTATGGATACAAATCGTGGAACTTGCAAGAACATTCAAGCATAGAAACTGATTATTCTTTGTAACTTTTGTTACCATTTCAAATTACAACAAACTAACCATTAAGATTATTAAAACAATGATCAGTTATATTTTTCTGCAGTGATTGTGATCTCTTTAAACAAATTCTATTTATAAAGTAGAAAGTGATTTCTTCTTCTTCTTCTAGTTCCTATCCGTTTCGGATGTTGGAAATCATATTGGCAATCATAACCTTGCTTGCTGCGGCTCGAAACAGCTCCGTTGAGGTTTTCTTAAACCATGTTCTTAAATTCCGCAGCCATGAAAAGAAAGAAAAGAAAGTGATTTACAGCACCTTAAATGTCAAGAATTTAAACCTAGAAAAAGAACTTAGTTCATTGAGCAAACAATGTGTAACAAGCAGAAGTTTTAAATCAATTGTGTCAAGAAATGTGAATGACAGTGCTACCTAACAGGTTGTTCAGTTTTACATAACATTGTAGTTAATAGAAAGAACATGGAAATACTAGCAAATGAGGGTGCTGTTGATATTTTAGTGTAGTATGTTTGATTAAAAACTTTTCATTTATAAATTCAAATCTATATGCCATTAGAATTTTAAAAATTAAACCTTTGTTTTATTGTGTTAACCTGTTTATATTGTTAATCCTTTATGTTGGATATAAATGGAATAACTAAGTACTCTATTCCACAATATCTTAAGCATATCTGTGCATAAAAATTTATTGAAATTAGATACACCTTATACATCTGTAATGAAAATTTCAAATATATTAAATTTAATAAATGAGTTACAAAGATATTCTATGTCTGATCTGTGATTATTAAACACTTTAAAATATTTAGAAATTACTTATATTTAAATTTATTTTTAACTTTTGTAATTACTCAAGCTTCAATAAAAGTGTTTTTTTTTAAAATTGGTTTGGGTCAAAACATTAATAACCTATATCTGAATATAAACTCTTTTTTTTTGATCAATTCAAGTGAGTGGCCCATAAAAAATAATCTAAATAGAGACTGGTTCTATCCTTACAAAACAACAATAGTTTGCTAAACCATGGAAATAAGGACAGATATTGTAAAAACAGATAAAGAAGCAACCATCTGTTTTCCATTTACTTAATAGCTGTGCTAGACTTTGATTGAGAGTTGATCTTTTCAAAAATAAAACCTTTTTGAGAATAAAGGACACAAAGCGATAATATATCAGACAGGTTGAAATGTTTTGGTATGATTAGAAAACTTTAATTGACTTTATTTGTGTTCTGTCTCTTTTTGTTGTATCTTGTATCAAATCGCACTATTGCAGTGAATTGCATTGCTTGGGAACACTCTGGGTGTAAGGACACTTTGATACTTTATTGTCACAGTGTTAATACACATGAAGCACTGCAAAGTATCAGCACAAAAGTGTCATACCACACAGTGTTACACATGACTAGTACTACTGCAGCATACAATAATTAATTGGAAATTATTTGTAGATGAAAAAACATATTATGTTTGGATATTTGAATATCATTGGATTCATATTAATTTACTTTCATGGCATGTTTGTGAAACGGATTAAAAACTCTACATCTGGGAGAAATCAGAGAGTCAAGATAGGTTGTCACTAATTGTGATATTGTATATTGTAATTTAAACTGTTAATGGGGTTATCCCGTGTATTAAACGTATAAAAATAAAAAAAATTAATATAGAAGTTTCATTATTCAAAAATCGTTAACAATATAAGAATTTTGTTAGTTATAGCTGTTCTATACCAGTATAGAAAATTAATTATATTTTCTAACTCACCTGATTATCTGGATCAAATACAAAAATAACTTTTAAATAAATATATATTACAGAAATGTACTTTTATTAGAACACAATTGCAATGCATATATAATTCTTTTTTTAATAAAATTAAAAGACTTCATCACCACTATCAATACAAAAATCGTTGTCATCATCATTATCATCATCTTCTGCTAAATCAATAACTACAGGGCTAATGTCTTCACGATCAAAAACAATTTCTCTATCCCACCAGCGCTGTATCTCAGATTCTGTACTCTTTATTGTTTTTGACCATACTTCTGGTGTTATTTGGGCCAGGGACTCCTTCCACACTGCTAAAGACTTTGCAGTAGAACTGCCATTTGTGCCTACATGGTCAGAGTAATACCGTTTACTTATTCCCCATATATGCTCAATTGCATTAAAATTACAATGGTATGGAGGAAGTCGAAGAACTCTGTGTCCATATTGTTCAGCCATTCTATCTACTTCATATATTGGTTCTGGTTTATTCCTATAAGCAATGAAATATTAAAAGCATATTAAATTGTACAAATTTAATTAAAAACATACCTCTGGACCAGTTGAAGCATTTGAGGTTTTAACATTGTTTGTTCATGTGCAATATTGTTATTTTCCAACCACTCTTTTATTTCAGCTTTTTTTGAAACACATGTCGGAGCTTTATTAATTATTGTGCTATGGTATGGAGCATTATCCATTATAATAATTGATGGTTCCTCTAAATTATTCAACAGCTGATGTTCAAACCATTGCAAAAAGTTATGACGATTCATTTCTCCATGGTAGTCACAGTCCTTTGTTTTGGATGAAAAAACCAATTCAGCTCCCTGAATAAATCCATTACAATTTCCTGCATGGAGAACAATGTATCTAAAAAATAGTTTAAATTACTAAATAAAATATATATCTAAAAAATAATTTAAATTACCAAATATAATATAAATATTATGCAATTAGTTGTCTAGGCTATTATTAAAGGTAATGATAAAAGCTACAAACAATGTTCTTGTGTAGTGCAGCAGTATAATATTGATGAGTTTGATTTTTTGTATGTTCATTATAATTTTAGTAATTTAAAAAAAATGATAAAACAAAAAATAACTTCCCATAACCATTTCATTTTTATTTTAAAGCACATTGTTAAGTGTTTTTACTTCTTTTAAATTTGAACATTGCAACAAAAGATAGTTGAGTTTAAATGCATTTTTTAAACATATATTTAAATTTGTACATGGTCAATTATTTAATAACTACATTAACTCAATTATTATTGTACTTTTTTTAGCTATTAACCGTGGGGGGAATACTGACTGTGTCACTTTCTTAACACTCACATGTTATTGTTTGTTGTTTTGTATAAAACAGATCACAATAAAATGGATATTAAACAAAAATATATATATTTACCTTGCACCACCGACTTTAGTTTTCTTAACACTTTTGTCACTTGAATCTTGCCAAGAACGACTAATAGTACCATCTTGAAAAATCCATGTCTCGTCCAAGAAAACAAATGTGTATAGACCTTCATTTTTTAGTTTTACATACTGCTGCAGAAACATGTCTTTTAAAAACAATATTGGGTAACTCCATTAAACCACGTCTTGGATCATCTTTTTTATAACGAAAACCAATATTGTGTACAATTTTCCATAAAGAAGTAAGACTACCAGTAAAAATATTCCTTTCTACTAATTTCGCTTGTAGTGTTTGTAATTTAACTTGTTCCTCTAAAATGATTATTTGTTTTAAAGATTATTGACATTATATTTGGTCAGAAACTTACTTTTTTTGTACATGTCATAAATAATATTTCGAATAGTCATTTGATTGAATTCATCTATATCAACAACTGGTTTTGTACGTCGTCTTTTTTGCTTTGGGCTTCTTAATGGTTCACCCCTATTGGCTTTTACTGCAATTTTATTTACAAGGGACAGGCTAATATTTAACGCCGCTGCTACCCTCTAAAAATAAAAACTTTCATATAACCTCACTTTTTAATCAAAATGAAATAGGATTGTTTAAAAATGTAAAATTAATATTGCTCACATTTTATATCACTATGTAAAAAGAAATAGAACAAATAATTACTTACATCCCTAACTGCTTCAAACGGAAGTAATATAGATTGATGATCACGTTCTGCCTCAAAGTATGAAATTAAAGAAATGACCATTTTCTGGGCACCACTTCCTAAAGCTTTAGGCATATTTGAAAATTTATAAAATTTTCAAATTTATAAATATTAGTTCTGAAAAGAACTTTTTTAGTTTAATTTATAGCAAAAATTGAAACAAAAAAAAATAACCAACACCACCTAACCACAGAATATTGTTTTCTATTTTGGGTGGGACGGGACCTAACCTCCACTACACTTATGTTCTGTGCCTCCTGTTCACAAATACAA